GGCCCTCACCCCTCGATGTAGCTCCGGTCCGCCAGGTAGTCGTTGAGCACCTGGAGGCCGGCGGCGCTCCTCAGGTCCCCGAAACCCATGGCGTGGCCGGGCAGGCTGCGCGGCGCCGACAACGGAGCGCTGCGCGGCGGCGGAAAAAGGGCCGCAAAAGGCCGGAAAGCGCCTTATATAGAGGGTGGCACCTCCCTCCCCGCACCGGCCGAGGTTAAAGGTCAGAGTGCGTTCACAGTCTCCTTCCCCAACGTAGAGCTTGGGGGCTCTGAATTAGACGGCCCACAAGCTACCCGCGGACCTTTGTTTGTCTGGAAATTAATGAATAAGAGGTATTCCTTAAATTAGTACCGCCAAGGCTCCGAAGATTATACGAACCGCCCCTTGAGGCACCGGAGATGACCGAAGACGCTCCGCCTCAGCCTCCAGCCACTTCCGGCGGAACTGCGGGGCCGCCGTGCCCGGCTGCTGCACCCTCCGCCCCGCCCCCTGTCGAGCTGACGGAAATTGCCGAACTCAGGCTCTGCCGGACGTTGTCGAATAGGGGCTTTGCGTCCCTCCTGGCTTGCCGTTCCCAGGCGCGGCTGACGGAGAGCGCCGAGGCCGCCATATTGAATAAGCGGGCGGCCTTGGAGGGTCGGCGGGGCGCGGACGGTTGTGCGGGCGGCCGCGGCGGCGGCGGCGGCAGGGACGAGGTGAGGTCGTGTTTGGTGGGGAGGCCGAGGGGCCTCGGCCGCGGGAGTTGAGGTCCGGACGAGCTGTTTCCTGTGCCCGGGTGCCCCATCCTCCGCCTGTCCTTGACTGGGCCCGCGCCGCTGGTGGCCGTCGCTGTGCAGGGCGGGCGGGCATTCCCCCGTCGGAGAGGGTGGCCTGGGCCTCAGCCCCGAGGCTTCCCCGCGCTGTCCGTGCCCGGTGCCGCGCGGCGTCGGCCGCTGTTGCCCGGGGACCGCCGCCCTGCGGGTGTGTGCTCTGGTCCCGGCTTTGCGTCTGACCGCGTCGGGCGGCCCCGCTATCCCTTCCCGGGGACGCTGGGGAAAGGACGCTCGCCGGGGCGCCAAGGTCGCCCGCGGGCCAGGGCACGGGCGGACGTTCTCGGGGCCGGTGCGCGCTGGAGACCGCGGCGTAGAAAGAGTCTGGTGAGCTGTTTTGGTGAAGGGGCGTCGGTTGTGTTCTGCGGAATGTCATTTTTCACCGAATCGCGTGTGCGTGAAGCGGCGTGTAGAGGGCTGCCGGAGCGCCTGCATGTTTGATTCCGGGAAGTGGAGGTTACGGCCAGAGATTGGAGGTGGAACTCAGTCAGCAGTAGTGATTGAACGTCTAGCGTAAGCCAGAAATGAGTCCGTGGAGGATTAAATGGGTGATACGACGGGGCAGGAGTTAGGAGATGTAGATAGGCTGGTGAAGGAAAGTCTCCCTGAGGAATGGCTTGTAAGCTAAAATTTGAAGGATGAGGAGGGGCCAGAAAGATATGAGGGAAGAGAGTGTCAGTGTGAGGCCATAGCCCCTGGGAAGAGGGGAGAGGCTGTGGGACAGTGTGGAGGCCTGGAGACTTGTCGGGGACCATCGTAATAGTCCAGGCAGGAGATGGCGGTGGCCTGGAATAGGGTAGTGCCTTGGAGGGAGGGAAGAGGGAGGATGCAGGGTACGTGGAGTAGTAGTGTCCCTATACCAAAAAGCGTCTGTCTAGTTTTAGAAATGATTGGTCATTAACGTCTTCCCATCTTAGAGATGGTGATTTCCGTTCTTACGTGGTGGCTAAGTATGTGTAAAGTACCTATCAAAGTTCTGCAAGTCTGTATTTCTTATGTTAGGGCTACGCAGTACTCCATTTGATGCTGGATTCTCAACAGACAGCCTAGTTCTGGTTGATTTCCTGGCTAAAGTGGGCACTACTTTTATTTTCTATTGGAGACAAACAAAATAATAGTATTACAGTTTTTACGTTGTTGTATGAAGTACTGATTCTTGATTTTGAATCTGTCATTACTCGAATTCAGCAAGTTCAGGTTTACCTTTACATTGATATCAATAGATTTTAATAGAGATGCTACTCATTCTGGAACTTGGCGATAAGACTATTTGATGGTTATATTCCCAAGGATTTGGTGCTAGGTCTTCAGTAAAGAGAAATTACCAAAGTGCAATATTTCTTGTCAAGGAACTTAAAAGTTTAGTAGGTAGTAAAATTGATTACTACCCTCCAGTTTAGTAGGTGGAATAGTAAAGATGTATACACATTGTGTGCTGATAGTGAAGAGAAGGAGCACAAAAGAGCACTTTAAAGCTGGTCTTCAGTGGCTGATACCACCTAAATCCAGCTTTAACGTTTAACGTTTATTGAAGTCCTACTAGTTACAGGTAGGCGAGGAAGGATAGTTTTCTTGCTCTATAGATAAAGAAGCAGAAACTCTGATTTACCACACATCACTCACTAGTAGGTGACAGACTTGATGTCTGTGAATTCAGTACCACAAATGCTGAATTAATGAATTTTATGAATTATCTAAGCCTGAGTTAATGAAATTTCCTATTATACGCCATCTATAATGGGTATCTGAAACTTAATGCTTAAAATTTATGTATATATGGGGTGGCCTGGTGGCGTAGTAACTGGTTAGGTTCATGTGGCCTGGGCTTCGGTGGCCCAGGCTTCGCCAGTTTGGATCCTGGGCGCGGACCTACTGACGGTTCATCAAGCCACGTGGAGGTGGCGTCCCACGTAGAAGAGCTACAACTCTACAACTATGATACACAACTATGTGCTGGGGCTTTGGGGAGAAAAAAGAAAAAAAAAAGAGGAAGATTGGCAACAGATGTTAGCTCAGGGGTAATATTCCTCACACACACACACAAAAAAACTTATGTATATGTGCTAGTTTCCATTTTCTTTACCTTCAAAATTCTTTATGTCGATGCATTCTGATCATATAATTTTCATTTTTAAAAGTTCCAAATGAAAAATTATAATTTAGATGTTTAGCCCATATGATCAAGTGAATGGACAAAAAACTAAACGTTCAGATGATTTTTCTTTGTTTGCTTATGTTTATCTTTAATTGGTGTTCTTTATACAATCAACTCCCATTTATTTCAGTAATTCAGCAGACTTTTTAGAGCAGAGTTTCTCAGCTTCAGCACTATTGACACTTTGGATAATTCTTTATTATGGGGGACTGTTCTGTGCATTGTAAGATGTTTAGCAGCACCCTAGCCTCTGCCCACTAGATGCCAGTAGCTTTCCCCGAGTCATGACAACAAACAAGGTGTCCAGACATTGCCAAGTATTCCCAGGGAAGCAAAATTGTGTCTGGTTGAGAACTGCTCTTAGAGCTTACCATGTGCCAGCCTTGGGGATAGGCACTGAAGATAGGTTCGAGAAGTTCCTAAGGCAATGAGGGTAGAACAGACGTAAACAGATCTTTGCACATCTGTAAGATAAATGTAGTACTCAGCACAGAAAATGGCACTCCAGACACATAGAACATTAGAAAGCATAGTGCAAGGAAACAAAGGCAGAAGGGTAGGCTTTATTTTACCTAGCTATTAATGATAAGCTCACTGTTCTTTAAATTTATGTTATTATATAGTAGTGTTTTAAGTTTGATCATTTGTTGATAGTTAAAAACAACAAAATTGTCCTTGACATAGAATCAGAAGACCCAAATTTATACACCAGCTGCTCCTTCTTAGCTCCTTGACATTGTACAAGTCAGTTCATCTCTCTGAGACTTGAGTATTCTCATCTATGGAATTTGGGGGAAAATATCAGGACTTGTGAATGTTCAATGAAATAATGTATGTGAAGTGCTTTAGAACCATAAAATAGTACCAAAAAGACTGTAATTAGGGTTATTTTTCCTACAATAACATAACTCTTCTTTGTTTTATTCTTAGCACTATGTTAAGGATATCTGTAAGAAGGGCCTTGGTAGGCCTTTCTAAGTCTCCTAAAGGATGTGGTGAGTATTTTTTTTTTTTAATTTGCATTTGTGGGTACTAGACTTTTTTTTATAAATTCATAGGTCGATGTTTCTTGAAAGACCCTAAACCCATAGTATGTTTTAAATAAAAATAGAAACAAATGGGCTGGCCTGCTACCACAAGTGGTTAAGTGCCTGCGCTCTGCTGCAGCGGCCCGGGGTTTGCCGGTTTGGATCCCGGGCGTGCCCCGACGCACTGCTTGTCAAGCCATGCTGTGGCAGCGTCCCATATAAAGTAGAGGAAGATGGGCATGGATGTTAGCCCAGGGCCAGTCTTCCTCAGCAAAAAAAAGGAGGATTGACAGATGTTAGCTCAGGGCCCATCTTCCTCACACACACACACACAAAATGGAAACACATGACCCAAGTTGAATAGAATAATTTTCAAAATATAAGTTTACCTTGAACGGTTTATAGAAATTATCATGGAATAGGGGCTGGCCTGGTGGCTTAGCGGTTAAGTGCGCGCGCTCTGCTACTGGCGGCCCGGGTTTGGATCCCGGGCGCGCACCGACACACCGCTTCTCCGGCCGTGCTGAGGCTGCGTCCCACATACAGCAAGTAGAAGGATGTGCAACTATGACATACAACTATCTACTGGGGCTTTGGGGAAAAAATAAAAAAAGGAGGAGGATGGGCAATAGATGTTAGCTCAGGGCTGACATCTGACAAACAAACAAACAAAAAAAAGTCAGGAAAAAAACCCTAAATTATCATGGAATAGAAAGTGGTAGGAACTGCCCATCAGTGCCAAAATGGAAAATGCAGTCATTCTGCTTTTGAAAAGTTGTCTTCCCATGTACATATTTTCAGTGGTATTAAAAGTGTCAACTTAAAGTGCTATTAAAAGTAGACAACTATATTGGGACCGGTCAGCTGGTGAGGTGGTTAAGTTCACGAATTCTGCTTCGACGGCCCGGGGTTCATAGGTTTGGATCCCAGGTGCATACCTACACACCGCTCATCAAGCCATGCTGTGGCAGTGTCCCACATACAAAATAGAGGAAGCTTGCCACAGATGTTAGCTCAGAGCCAGTCTTCCTCACCAAAAAAAGTAGATAGCTATATTCTGTTTGGTATTTAAGATTGGAAAAGCTTTTTTCTAATTCAATATTTTAAAAGTTTGCATCCAGAGGAATAGAAAGGAATAGTATAAAATGAGGGGAAATTTTAGGCTTGTAGGTTAGATTTAATCCATTATCCTCTGCTGTAATAAATCCAACTTTGTTAATTTATTTTTCACCTCAATGTTTTTGATGGTCAGTTCGAACAAGTGCCACAGCAGCAAGCAACTTGATTGAAGTATTTGTTGATGGCCGGTCTGTCATGGTGGAACCGGGAACTACCGTGCTCCAAGTAGGCATATGTTCTGATTCTTTACTTTTGTGTGTGTTCTGATTTTTTTTAAAAATTCCAATTTATTTCCTTTATACTGTTTTTCTCTTAAAGTTTTCAAGATTCCTTGATAAATGCTATATAACAGAACTATAGATGGTAAAATTATATGAAAATGTTTGATTTGCAATCTTAGCATTTCAAAGTAAGCTGTCATTTATCTGTCTCTGACTTTCTCAGTGGATGGTGGCAATTCTTTTGTTTCACTTCTGCCTTACAAACAAGTACCCATTAAGAAAGTTGAAATTGCCTAAAAGAATTACTTAATAATACGTAAGTTTTAGGAAAAAAGGAACCTTTGTTGTGAGCATGCTTGTGCTTTTCACTTTCATGTAGGCTATTTTTAGTAATATTTCTAGGAATGTGTCTTACAAAGCAGGTAAATGGAGGGTAGTACGTTCTTGAATTCGTGCCCTAAACGTTTAATTTCTCCAGATTCCTCCAGAACTAACAAAGTTGGTCATGGAAAAGTGATTCTTCATTTCACCTGCAAGTTAATCACAGAGATAAATGCTCTTTATTCATTTTAGCCGTCATTTCTAGGCTATCTGCCAGGGATAGACGTGTAAACAATAAATATATAACAAAAGTATGTTCAAGGTACAGTGCAGAATATTTTAGCAGGTACAAGAGGTGGTAGAAAGAGATGTTCGGGGTGTCTCGGGTGATCCCTGAGGAGATTTTAAAGAATGAATAGGTGTTTATATGTTGACAAGGAATCTTCCAATAGTTTGGTATTCCTGGAACGTAAGGTGTATGTAGAAGATGGGATAACAGGAAATCAAGTTTATTCTGGTAGGGAAGGTCCAGTCAGGAAAGAAGATATATGTCATACTAGATAAAGAAGCCATACTAAACAGCTTCTAGTTTGACCCATCGAGAGTTTTCATGCCTATTAGGCAGTATGACCGGGACTGTAAAGGATGATGATTTGGAGAAGAACAAGACTGGAGTGAGAAAGAAGAAAAGAATATGTTGCCGTAGTGGAGTGGGAAATGAAAAGACCTAAAACAGATAGTAGCAATGAGGATGAAAACAAGAGGGTAGATTCAAGGGAGAGGGGGTTATAGATAGACAGATTTTTAAGAATGATGAAGCACAGAGGAATTTTTATGGTTTCTGGCTTTGTTAGCTAATTTGGGGATGTATAGTGGGGGGGCAGAAATAGGTTGAATTTTAACTGCCTATGGAGTATACACGTGCAAATGCCTATTTAAGTCTAGAGCTTAGAGAAGTGGAGGACTATCAAGGCTACAGATGAAGGCTTGGGTGTAATCTTCACATGGGATGTGAGCTAGTACGAAGGCTGGAATAATGTCTGTCTTGCTTACTCCTGTACCCACTGCATCTACCACATAGGAAGACTCGATACATTTTTGCTGACTAAGTAGTGAAAACATTGGCTATTGGGCCAGCCCCGTGGCTTAGCGGTTAAGTGCGCATGCTCCTCTACTGGCGGCTCCTGGGATCCTGGCGGTTGGGTTCCTGGGCGCACACCAATGCACGGCTTCTCCGGCCATGCTGAGACCACGTCCCACATACAGCAACTAGAAGGATGTGCAACTATGACATACAACTATTTACTGGGGCTTTGGGGAAAAAAAGGGAGGAGGATTGGCAATAGATGTTAGCTCAGAGCCGGTCTTCCTCAGCAAAAAGAGGAGGATTAGCACGGATGTTAGCTCAGGGCTGATCTTCCTCACAAAAAAAAAACAAAAAAAAACAAACAAACATTGGATATTGATGAGATTGCTTTAGAGTAAGGGGTCTGGATAGAAGAACTAACTCTAGAGGGAATTTGAATATGTTTATGGGCTCAGAGAAGGAGTGATAATTGGTAAAGCAGGACTAATCCCCCTTACTAGGCAAACAGGAACCGGGAAGAGCTTCAGCCACGGTGGGAGTGTGAGTCCTTGGTGGGGTATATGGGGCCAAAACTAGAACGAGATCATAGCCAGCTAGATGGTGTGCAGTGGAGTCTCTGATCCAAAGGAGGAGCGCTCGGCAAAGAGGAGGTCCGGGTATGAAGCCACTAGGACAGTTTGAAGGGGGCGTCTGTGGACAGTGGTTCAGAGTGGCAGTGGGGAGTCCAGCCTGCAGCACAGTCTGAGGAGACTTCATCCAGTTTTTTCCATGTAAGGGGTAGGCATGCTGAGGATACTTAAAGAGGCGGCTTCAGAGCAGACGGGTTGCAATCAAGAGCAAAGAAAGAGGGAAATCTCTTCAGGGATGAAGTAAGAATGAATGAAGATACTGATATTTATAGAGACGAGTAATAAGATAGGTAGGAGATGGCCTCATTTTTTTCTGTGTTTAGGCAAGACAAGGGTAAGATCAGGTTATTCCAATGCAAAAATTTTTTATTTTGTTTTCTAGGCTTGTGAGAAGGTTGGCATGCAGATCCCTCGATTCTGTTATCATGAAAGGTTGTCTGTTGCTGGGAACTGCAGGATGTGCCTCGTTGAAATTGAGAAAGCTCCTAAGGTACATGATACCTAAAATTCCACAGCATGCTGTAGAAGGTAGAAAACGTTAAATCTCGCAGCAGACTTTGTTTAGAATCAATGTTGTTGTGGTGGAGAATCTAGCCCTGTGTACTTCTATCTATAAATTTATTTTCTGCGCACTTGATTCTCTTCTTTCAGAACTGGAAGCACATCGATGAAAGTGCTTTATAAAAGCAAGTGCTTGGGCCGGCCCAGTGGTGTAGTGGTTAAGGTCGCGTGCTCTGCTTCCGCAGCCAGGGGTTCACAGGTTCGGATCTCGGGCGTGGACCTACACACCGCTTATCAAGCCATGCTGTGGCAGGCATCCCACATATAAAGTAGAGGAAGATGGGCACGGATGTTAGCCCAGGGCCGATCTTCCTCAGCAAAAAGAGGATTGGCAATGGATGTTAGTTCGGGGCTAATCTTCCTCACCAAAAAAAAAAAGCAAGTGCTATGTAATTGTAACAGATTTAGAAATTAAAGGTGACTTCTTAACAGCTGTCCATATTTCTGAGTGGCTGTCTGTCACACAACTAGGGTGTGGAGTTGCCAAGCAGCACATTAGTAGTCTTGTGCTGTGCTGTTTTCACTAGAAAAAAGAGTTGCAGTGAAGAGGTTCATTTTCAGCTTAATTTCATTTTGGCTTATGCAATTTTAATTCAGCATTGCCTGCTAATCAAAACACAGTTATTTGATGTTCTGTTTCAGAGCCTCTTATAAAAAATTATATTGACTATTAGAAAAAAATTAAGAAGTAGGATGTCTTATTTGTTTCTAAGAGAAATGTAAAGCGCCAGATAATCATATTATGAATATGAAAACTAAAAAATTCAATCTTCAGAAATACTCTGTTCTAGGGGCCAGCCTGGTGGCAGAGTGGTTAAGTTCACATGCTCTGCTTTGGCGGCCCGGGGTTTGCAGGTTCGGATCCCAGGTGCGCACCTACACACTGCTGGTTAGGCCATGCTGTGGCAGCATCCCCTGTACAAAATAGAGGAGGATTGGCACATATGTTACCTCAGGGCCAATCTTCCTCGCCAGAAAAAAAAAAAAACCATAAAACTCTTTTTGCTTGCTTTCAAATGTATAATTTGATGTGTTTATATACTGGGTTACTTATAATTACAAATAAATACAAATACTTACAGGTTTTTTCCATTGAAATTCCAGGTTGTAGCTGCTTGTGCCATGCCAGTAATGAAAGGTTGGAATATCCTGACAAACTCAGAGAAGTCTAAGAAAGCCAGGTACTTTATTATTACTCGGGGTAGTAACTTTTCTCAGAGCAGAAAATTGCACATTTCAGTATTTAGACCTTTCTGTAGATGAGAAATTCAGTGTCAAACTCTGAAGAAATTGATGTGCTGGCTTTCAGGAGCAGTGGAAGTGAGTACACAGCAGAGAAGATGAAGTCAGAGGTTTATAGTTTTGAGCCTAGAGTGGGATTGGCATTGAAAACTCTTGTTTAGTAACTTGCTCAACTTCTAGGGCTTATTGAACTGAGATTATTGCAGTGATGTATAACTGTACTGTACTGACTCTGTTTGGTTTTGCTTTGCATTTGCGTATGTGTTTTTGTTTTGAATTAATGCAAGTGTTTTCTGAAGACCAGCAACTTTTGATAATTCTATTAAAAGTTATAATTTTGTAGGTTCTCTAATGATATTTGATTCTAGACTCTTGTAAGCATTCTTTACATTGTGCATTTAATATTACTTAAATGATAGTTTCATTGGCATTTCTGATAATAAATGTAAAGTGAATACTAACTTTATCAGAGCATACATCTGCAAAGGTTATTTAAATAGCCTATATGTAAACCATTTTTGAGTGCCAGCAATTTATGTCATTTTATCTATTACAATTTTCCATACAGAGAGGGTGTGATGGAGTTCTTATTAGCAAATCACCCACTGGACTGTCCTATTTGTGACCAAGGAGGTGAATGTGATCTGCAGGTATATAGTCTAATTTCGTAAATCTTTTTGATTGTCTCAAATTTTACTTTCATTAGCAGCATTAGATGAACTCTCTTGTGATCTACTTAAGGACCAGTCCATGATGTTTGGAAGTGATAGGAGCCGATTTTTAGAGGGGAAGCGTGCTGTGGAGGACAAGAACATTGGGCCTTTGGTGAAGACCATCATGACCAGGTGTATACAGTGCACTCGCTGCATCAGGTAGTTTTTTCCCTCTCTCTTCTGGACTATCATTTGTATACTTACTTAACATTCGCAAAATTTGGAGGAATAACAACACTGGAAAGAATGGCAACTTTGGTGGGAGAAGAGAGATGTTTTTAATATTATTTGCATAAACCAATAAAATGAATAAGTGGGTCACTTTTCAGTTAATATCAACCTCAGTTGAATTTAAAAATCACAATCTAGAAGCATTAACTCTGATAACTTGTTGAGCTCTACATCTATGATTTGTGCAATATTCTCTTTACCTCAATTAAATGCAAACATTTATTGGATTAATTTTTATTCAAGGACTATGCTCAGCATTGAAAATAGACTCATATCTTTTTAGTGTTTCGAAAATCATTATCTCTGTGATCATGAATAGGAAAGGAGGCAGTTTTGTTGGATTCGACAATTTGATGGTACATTTTTATCTTGCAGGTTTGCAAGTGAGATTGCAGGAGTAGATGATTTGGGAACAACAGGCAGAGGAAATGATATGCAAGTTGGCACATACATTGAAAAGATGTTCATGTCTGAACTGTCTGGGAATATCATTGATATCTGCCCTGTAGGTGCCCTGACCTCTAAGCCCTATGCCTTTACTGCACGGCCTTGGGAAACAAGGTATTCATCATTGTATTCTTTTACAATTTGTTTTTTGTCCTTTAATTTGCTACTATTAAAAAAATTCAAGGGCCAGCACAGTGGTGTAGTGGTTAAGTTCGCGCTCTCCACTTCGGTGGCCTGGGGTTTGCAGGTTCAAATCCTGGGCGCGGACCGAAACACTGCTCATCAAGCCATGCTGTATGATGTCCCACATACAAAAAGAAGAAGATGGGCACAGATGTTAGCTCAGGGCCAATTTTCTTCACCAAAAAATATATATATATATTTAAGATTCATTTTTTTCTTGAGTTCTAATTGTTTTGGTCTGCTAAGTTTTTGTTTGCTTTAAGTAAAACACTTTTAATGGAAGATAAGTAGTTAGATTGAAGGATAGAATGAACCTGTGCAAATTAATTGTAGTTTTCTTGGAAATTAATTGCAAAGTTTTTGTTAGTGCCATCGAGTTGATTCCGACTCCTAGTGACCCTGTGGACAGCAGAGCAGAACCCTGTTTTTGCACCATCGTTTCTTCTTACAGTACATATCAGACAGTGCTCTGCTGCTATGCACAGTGTTTGCATGGGCAATTCTTTTCGGAAGTGAGTGGCCAGGTTCTTCCTTAACCACAAAATTATTTTATTCACTTCTTCTTCCAAGGAGTAAAATTGTCTTGATTTTTAAAATTTAGCCTCCTTTCAGTGTATATTAAGTTTTCAGCCATGTGGACATATCATACAGTGTTTAACCAGTTCCTATTATTACACAGTTCACTTGTTTCTATTTCTTTATAATTATAAATCTATGATAAACATGTATATTCATAATTTTCTTTATCTCTGATTTTTCTCGTTAAACCAAGAAATGGAGTAGTAGTTGAATATTTTTAAGGTTCTAGAAACATGTCATCAAATTGCCCTCCAATTTTTAAATTCCGACCAGAGTAGAAGGGAGTATCTTAAAATTCCAAATTTTAAACCATGTATTTACGTATACAAAAGGTTTGAGGGGCAGGGTTGGGGAACAGTACATAACTGAGATGTTTAAGTAGAGAATTTTTCCTCCTCTCCTTCTGGGCCTTCGATAATACGTATGTTGCTGTGCCTGTTGTCCCACAGGTCTTTGAGACATTGTTCATTTTCCTTAAATCTTTTTTCTCTTTGTTCTTCAGATTGGATAATTTCTATTGATCTGTCATTGAGTTCATTCATTCTGTCTTTTGCCATCTGAAATCTGCTGTTGAGCCCTGTAGTAAATTTTTTTATTATAGTTATTTTTTTTGTTTTGTTTTGTTTTTGTGAGGAAGATCAGCCCTGAGCTAAAATCCATGCTAATCCTCCTCTTTTTGCTGAGGAAGACCGGCTCTGAGCTAACATCTCTTGCCAATTTTCCTTCTTTTTTTTTCCCCAAAGCCCCAGTAGATAGTTGTATGTCATAGCTGGACATCCTTCTAGTTGTTATATGTGGGACACGGCCTCACCATGGCCGGACAAGCGGTGCGTCGGTGGGCGCCCGGGATCCGAACCCGGGTCGCCAGTAGCGGAGCGCACGGACTTAACCGCTAAGCCACGGGGCCTGCCCCTATTATAGTTATTGTACTTTTCAACTCCAGAATTTCTTTTTGGTTCTTTTTTATAATTTTCTGTATCCTTACTGAGAATCTCTACTTGTTGATTTGTGATTATCGTAGTTTCCTTTAATTCTTTGAACATGATTTTCCTTAGTTATTTGAACATATTTTAATATTTTTGTTTTTGTTTTTAAGCAGGGCTTCTTAGGGGTTGCTCCTGTGTCTGCAAAGCTTAGTAGTTAGATGTTGATCGTGCTAAAATACTTTGAGCCAATAAGGCTTCCATATTCTGCCAGTGGATCTGTGTGTGCATAGAGGAGCACATTCCAAGTTCAGGCTGTTTTCAGGTCTGCCCAGCTTGTGCTTTCCACTGGGCCCTTTGGGTCTCAGTGTTGTCCAGGAGTGTATGAACAGCTTGGGCCCTCTCTGGTCTCAGCTGCACATATGCACAGCCTCCACTAGGAATGCTTGTCCGGACGACTATGGGAGACCCTTGGCTCTCCTCAGCTCAGTCACCTCCCAGATATCACTTCCACAGACAGCTTTGCCCATTGCTCCAGATTGAGTGAGTCTTATCTGCAGAAAAGAAGCTCCCGTCTTCCCATCCTGGCAAAACCTCCAGTTCAAGGTGGTGGGAAAGGGGACAAAAATAGCCCTTAGCCGGAACACCACTGATTTTCACTGTTCTTACTCAAGGTTCAGTTTTCCACACATCAAAGCTGCTCGTGATGTTATATGCCTTTGGTAGATTTCCAAAGTGCTGAATTGATCGTTTTTGTTAATTTTGTCTAGCTTGATTTTTGCTCTGTGGTGGGAGGATTTGTCAAACTCCTTAATCAGCCATACCCAGAAATCTCGCCCCTCTTGTTATTTATTTTGATACTCAAATTGTCCCAGATTTGGCCATTTGGAGCCCTTTCAGTTGGCTTCTGTATTAGATAACAGTTTTAAAGTCTTCATTTTGCAGTAGGAATTTATGTGACGTATTCAAAGATGAGGGTATATTGTTTTATTGCAATTCCTCTGAGGTCCATTATTAAGAAATTCAGAAAGGAAAGTAATTGTAAAATTTTTTGGTTTTGGTAAGCCAGGTAACAGAAACTTTGTCCTTAGTCTCAAAATCAACGCAGTAAATACACGTGTCTGTTTTCTTAGAAAGACAGAATCCGTTGATGTAATGGATGCAGTCGGAAGTAATATTGTGGTAAGCACCAGAACGGGAGAGGTCATGAGGATTTTGCCAAGGATGCACGAGGACATCAATGAAGAGTGGATCTCTGATAAAACCAGGTAAATGCGACATTGTTTTCCTACCTTTTGCAGTTGATTTAAAGGAAATTTTATAATAATTTTAGTTTTAAAGAGCTATCTTTAATATTTGTAAATTAATGAATGAATATAACTTGAAATCTGGATTGTTTTTGTAGCGATTTGGACAAAACTGACATTAGTAGTCCTGGGTATATCACTAGCTTTCATATTACCTTTGAGAAATATTGTTTTTTGTCCCAGAGGGAGAAATTGAAGTAGATTAAGATAACTTAATCTAGTTCAGTTTGTTCATTGGAGAAAAGAAGCTAAATATAAGTTAGAGTTTGCCAACATAATTTTGATAAAATATCTAGAGGTACTCAGTTTTAAAAATAAAAATGATTTGGCTTATTCAGCTATCAGATTTTTTGTGTTGTAATTTTAAGATTATTGAGGTAGCTGAAAATAAATGATAAGAACTCAAACCTTTTAGATGGTGTTTTAGTTTTAGGTGATGTTCATAAAATATTTATTAGTTCATCTTTAAAAAAACCTGGAATAGTTATTTTATCCAGGCATTTATTATTCTATTTGACACTTTAACCAATACTGTATTTAATTAACATTCCTTTTAGATTTTAAACTTGAAAATTATAGTTGCCTCTTAAGCAAGATTCTACAAATGGTGTAATTTCTGTTATCTAGATTTGCCTATGATGGGCTGAAACGGCAAAGACTTACCGAGCCGATGGTCAGAAACGAAAAAGGGCTTTTAACCTATACCTCCTGGGAGGATGCACTCTCTCTTGTAGCTGGAAAGGTAAAAAATTGAAATGAGAATAAATAGTATTTGTGATTTTCAAGGGACATTTTCTTAGTGAAGAGGGGATTTGTGTCTCTTTGCTTCTTTCCTCTTACCGGGCTTACCTTCCATTTAATGAGTGTTTATGCCAGATGTCATGCTAGATATAGGGATGTGAAGACTACTGACACATGGTCCCTGCCTCCCACAGTCTTGTAGTAGAGACAGATGCATAATTGGGCAGTTATCATATGCTGCTGTGGGTAGTTGTGCGGGAAGTGATATATGAGAGAGCTCATAGGAGGGGTGCCTAACGGAGGCTAGCATAACGGGATGCCTTCCTAGATAAGGTGGCTCCTTAGGCAAAGTCCAGAGTGAAGATGAGCTTGCCAGAGCAAAAATGGAGGGAATGGCTTTGGTCAGAGAAAGGCAACATAGATAAAGGACTTGAGGGAGTAGCAGATACCTCAGAAGAAGTTGTGTTTAACTATAACTCCACGGTCTTTACCCTCCAGACCTCATTCTCAGGACCTTTTGTTCCTAATTTAAAACAGCTTCCCTCCAACCTTGGCCCCACATACACCTCTGCTTCTCACTTTTATATTAATCAATAATTGGTGTAAAACTTTTAGTCAGAAGTTTGTTGCTTTTTTTTGTACTTGAAAATGATTATTGTTTTGTTTTCTGAGGAATTCATTGTGGTCTTTGCTGAATGACGGTTTCTTGGTGATATCTTTTCATCCATTTCTAGTTGCAGAGTTTTCAAGGCAAGGATGTAGCAGCAATTGCAGGTGGCTTGGTAGATGCTGAAGCCCTAGTAGCTCTCAAAGATCTGCTTAACAGAGTGGACTCTGACACCCTATGCACTGAAGAGGTCTTCCCCACTGCAGGAGCTGGGTAAGAAATAGGAAGCTAGGATCTAGGCCTTTGGTTTTTTTTTGGTTACAATTTCTGTATAAACCAACATATCTATGGCATCAGTGACTGATATGCAACAACTTGGATTCTCCAACATACCCACCAGTTTATTTTCACATATAGACCAAAGTCAAACCAGGAATTGGAGAATCCAGTTATTAATAGGTATCTGAAATGTTGAGGTAATTTAGGAAGACCTCATAAATTTCTTTTTGTCCATAAAAATTTTTGGAGTGCCATGGGTTTGTTGACATGAGAATATTCCATGGATTGTTAGTGTGTATTAGTTTTAAAGTAAACGTGCATTTTTTATTTTGTATTTCTAGCACAGATTTGCGTTCCAATTATCTTCTTAATACTACAATTGCTGGTGTGGAAGAGGCAGATGTTCTCCTTCTGGTTGGTACAAATCCGCGTTTTGAGGCACCGCTATTTAATGCTAGAATTCGAAAGAGGTTAGTAGTAATATACAGGGTTTTAAAAATATTTATATAATCTGTTTTGTATATGAAAAATGGCTATTTTAGTTGATTCCTAATAGTCTTAGTAGGAGTGAGACTGACAGATAATTGGAGGGCAATTTCTTTTTGTGTGTGTGTGAGGAAGATCAGCCCTGTGCTAACATCTGCCAATCCTCTTTTTTTTTTTTTTTTTCCTGAGGAAACTGGCCCTGGGCTAACATCCGTGCCCATATTCCTCCACTTTATATGGGACGCCGCCACAGCATGGCTTGCCAAGCGGTGCGTCGGTGCACGCCTGGGATCCGAACTGGCGGACCCCGGGCCACTGCAGTGGAGCGCGCGCATTTAACCGCTTGTACCACCAGGCCAGTGCCTGGAGGGCAATTTCTAACAGATCCATTCCCCTCCTTACCCTCTGCTGATCTTTTAATTTTTTATCTTCTTATTTTGAAATAATTCAAGATGCTTGAAATGGTCTTTGTATACTCATTTTTGTATACTGTTTACTTGGATTAACCAGTGTTAACATTTTGTCACATTTCTTTTATTATTCTCTCTCCATGTATGTATATGTTTGAATGTAATTTTCTGAATCACTTGAAAAGTAAGTTGTGGACATGATGCCCTTTTATTCCTATATACTCTTATGTGGATTTCCTAAGAACAAGGGACATTTTCTTAAATAATCAAGAATTTAGTATTAATAGTATAATTTTATTATCTAATCCGCAGTTTATATTCAGATTTCACCAGTTTTCCCATAAGCTCTTTTATAATCGCTCTTTTCCCGCCCAGGAGTCACACGTTGTAATTAGTGTCATGGCTCTTCAGTCCTCTCTGTTGACATTTTGTTGAAGAGCACAGGACAGTTATTTTGTAGGATGCCTCTCCGTCTTTTTATATCTTAGAGACTTATGAATAGCTCAGTCATATAATTTATTGTCTAAACTGGGACACTGTTGAGAGTGAAAGGGGGAGTTGTTAATTACTCCAGGATAACAGGTGAAAACCAGCACTGTCTCAAACAAACCAGAATAGATGGTCACCGAATTTATAACTATTTTTGGAGGAGCTGGAGCCATACTTCCCTGACACAGAGAATAAATATGAATAATGTAGTTTATTTTCATGAACCATATTTAAATGACTTTAATGGATAAGTAAAAGATAATTGCTCTGCTGTGTAAATATGGCAAAATAGAAACTACAGATCATTTATTCTAAAATTACAGTATTTATAGCTGGCTTAGAGTTAGTATTCTTACACAGCAAATTAATTCATTGAATTACCTTGGTGTGTATTTTTGCAACACTTTATTTTGAAAGGTACGCAATAAATTATGGTATTAAGGTTAAATGTTCTCTGGGTGCTTTTTTGCTTTTTTTTTTTTTTTTTTTTGGTGAGGAAGATTGGCCCTGAGCTAACATCTGTTGCCAGTCCTCTTTTTGCTGAGGAATATTGGCCCTAAGCTACCATCTGTGCCCGTCTTCCTCTGTTGTGTATGTGGGACGCCGCCACAGCATGGCTTGTTAAGCTGTGCATAGGTCCGTGCCCAGGATCTGAACCTGTGAACCCTGGGCCGCTGAAGCGGAGCATGTGAACTTAACCGCTATGCCACCGGGCTGGCCCCTTTTGTGCTTTTAACATTTTGTAATATAAATAGATGTAGTACTTGGCATTGATGAGACCACTAACTATGCCAAGTTAGTAATTTAGCTCTAAAAATCTTGTTTTTATTTCAGCTGGCTTCATAATGACTTGAAAGTGGCCCTTATAGGCAGCCCAGTGGACCTAACTTACAGATATGACCATCTGGGAGATTCCCCCAAAATTCTTCGAGACATTGCTTCGGGTAGCCATCCATTCAGCCAGGTTCTCTCATATTATAATGTTATCTGCTCTTGTTAATTTTTAAGTATTATATTATTTTAAAACTTTATCGTTTCTGTAATAACAATATGTGATTACTGTTAAAAACTATAGCAATATCTGCAAGAATATAGAAGACAGTAAAACACTACCCAGAATCCCATCACCCCAAACAAGTATTGGTGAAACATCATAATCATCTCTCTATTCATATATAGAGCAAGGTGGATGAATAGATAGGCAAACAAACAAAAATGAGATCATACTGTACATGCTGTTTCTACGTACCAGAGTTTAATTTTAGTTGAAATTATCAGAAAAGAAATTGAAGTGAAACTGAAAGAATTAAACTTCAGACTTCAATGAAATCTTGCTTAACTGCAAGAGTTATTATTCCTAAAAGAAATTTCATCAGTCATTTTACATGACTTTTTCATTACTGCGTTCCTTATTCACATTAATTTCACTGCTGTCTGGAGTTTATAGTTTATAGTTTTATATTTTTTTTTTTCAAGAGGGGCTCATAGATGCACTATTCCTTGAGGTCTTGCTTGCCTGAGAATGTCTATTTTATTTCTGAAGAGAGCCTTGGCAGGATATCAAGTCTAGGGTCTTCTCCCCCAACCCTGTCCTGATTTTTGTTCCTGTCTAGATACTTTTTCATTGATACTTTATACTTGATTCTTTATTCTTGAAATTTAATAACTTCACCAGAATATGTCTTAATGGTGGTGGTTCTCTATCACTTTTTTATGGGACATCTTTCAGTCTGAAGATTCAAGGTTCTCTTTATTTTAGGGTGTGTGTGTGTGTGTGTTGGGGTGGTGATCATTAAAACCATGTAAGGGGTTCCTGCCTCTTACATAACGACGGTTCTGGAGGTGGGCTGTGTGACAGGTGATGTGGTTCTCCAAGGGTGTCATCCAGGAAGGAGCCTGTCTTCTCGCTTTGCTGTCCTCGTGCGTTGGCTCACTCGTGTGTGTGTGGGAGCCTCTCCTCGTGGTTCCAAGAGGGCTGCTTCATTGACAGCCTCAGGTGTGGACAAGAAAAGAGTCGAGTGCACAGGGACAAAGCAGCCAGGTCCAACCCCGTTGTTGTTTTGAATAGGAAGAACATTATCATGATTACAAGGATTAAAAATAATAACCAGTGCCTATTGAGAAGTCTCTCTCTTTCACTAGTTCCCATCCCCACGCCCCAGAAGGTGATTAGTGCTCTTCAGGAAAGTTTTCTTCTGTAATAGATTTAAATGTATTTTCTATTAATTAGATCTGTTCTCTTCATTAAGCACACTTAACAATCTAGACATAGGATCCCCTTTTCGCTCTCCTGTCATTTTTCCTATGTGCTTTTGTTCTTTTCTCGTTTGTTTTATATAATTTCCGATAGCCTTTCTCATTCCTGTATTTACAGTCATGTTGTATTTGTTTTTTATTGTTTCTGGAATGGTGTTCATCTCTGATTGGTTTCTTTTTTTTTTTTTTTTTTAAGATTTTATTTATTTATTTTTTCCCCCCAAAGCCCCAGTAGATAGTTGTATGTCATAGCTGCACATCCTTCTAGTTGCTG